GGAGCAGCCACAGCTTCTCTGTGCACCTTATGCCTGATATCTGATCTAAATCTCTCCTCTGTCCGTTTAAAGCCATTTCCCCTTGTCCCATCGCTGTCTGCCCGTGGGATCAGCATCTCTCCCAGTTTCTGGAAGAGCTTTGGGCACTGGAATGTCCAGCAGCGCCCTCTGCCGGGCTGGCTCGGGAGCGCCGGATCAGAGAATCTCAGAATCGACCTGGTTGGAAGAGATCTCAAAGATCAAGTCCAACCCTACTGTGGTCACTAGCCCATGGCACTAAGTGCCACATCCAGTCTCAGCTTGAAAACCTCCAGGGATGGTGAATCCACCACCTCCCTGGGCAGCACATTCCAATGCCTGAGCACTCTCTCCGTAAAAAATCTCTTCCTAATCTCCAACCTAACCCTCCCCTGGAAGAGCTTGAGTCTGTGCCCTCTTGTCCTGCTGCTGGTTGCTTGGGAGAGGAGACCTAGACACAAACCTTCCCTCTGCACAGTCCCAGTTGCCCCCGGGAGAGCCTTCCCTCTCCAAACATCAGCTGCACTGACACACAGCATGGCTAAGCACAGAGCTGGGTGCAATTATCCTCTTTCCTTCTCAACCTTTTCTTTCTGCTGCTCAGTACTTTCTCCACGAGTGCATCTTCCAGAAGTATTTTAGGATGTGGTGACTCCTTGGCTCCTGTTCCCTCTTCCCATCAGCCCCTTCCAACAACATCCTCATCTCCAGCTTTCTAACCTGATTCCTCCCCCTCCAAACCTGCCCAATTTCAGGGGCATCAAACACCAGAGCAGATGGTAGCCCAGAAAACCCACAAGGCATTTGCCTTTTCCAAGCCATCCTGTTTCCCAATATAGACCAGAAAGAAATCGGATCAGTCCAATCCAATTCTCGCTGGGCTGTAAGTCTGGAAAACGGATTATGCAAAATACCTGACATCAATTGCTTGCTGTGAGTGCTGAATGGAGTTTGGGAGGAGATCAGAGTGTTTATACCTCTGGATGTAAAAATAGGACTAAGCACCTTGCGATTTCTTGACAAAGGGTTACACAATTGATAAGAGGAACAATTTTTCCACTGGGTTATCCAGCACTAACACAAGCACAGCCACATTGTGCTGTGCTTCCACCCCAGATCTGCCCAGGCCAGAGGAGATGGAACCAGCAGCTACTGAATCCTAAATTCCTCCAGGTTCCTATTGCAGTCCTGGCAGGGTTAACACAGGATCATCTGATTGCAGCACTGTCAGGTCACTTAGATTTAAGCTTCTATTTTGAATTCCGTTGAGAAATATTGGGGCTTTAATCATATACTTTTAATCATGCAGCTTTTTGTGCTGAAAGTTAAACAGAAGAGACT